TATTTATGAAAGAGACTAATTCAAGGTACACAGGTAGCCTTCAAAACTTTGGATGTGGCCCCCAGAACTACTCCAAAAATTGCCACCAAATTATAATTTTAAATGTGATAGAAAGGGACAATCCTTGATTACCAGTGACATTGTTTAAGTTAGGAGTGAAAGTGAGACTGACCAGATTTCAAAGGTGAGAGATGACACTAATCAAAGCCTTAAGATCATGACTGCTTTGTTCCAAGTGGGAGATTAGCTGTTTGTAACTGCATAAGTTGACAACTGATCAAATCGAGATCACCTTCCTCTTTGCTTAGAAGCTCTTCAGAAAAAATGCTTCCACATTAACTGGCCAAATAATTTTTACACTCATTTTCTTTTCTAATCTCATCTCTATTTACAAGCCACAGATTCACTAAATAATGTCCAAAGGAACTACAGCAATAAAAATGATCCAGTTACATTTTAATGAGGGTCAGCCAAAATACAGATAATCCAGATATGTTTAAAAGTTAAGCACACAAGCTCAGATCACCCAAAGCTTGAGAGCTATTATGGTTCAAAGAGTCTTGTGGCAAACTAATGAAACACTTAAATGTGAACAATTTATGCAGAGAAGTAGGAACTTTGATTCCTCTCTCCCCTTTCATTTTCTTTGATTATTATGACTTGTATGTATGAAAAATGTCCTTGTTAAAGACGGAAACATAATTTTAGTTTGTTCTACTCCCCCACCCCACTGTCATTCAACAATTGGTTACTTTCCACTTTAAAAACAAAAAATCTGGAATTTCTCTGTGGCAATAACTGAGATCATGTTACTTTTAGTTAGTATGGTGGAAAAAAGTTTTAGGATGGCACAATTAGTCACTTTTCATGCAACCTTTACCATTTTTCAACCTCAAGCTCCTCCCTCTTAAATTAAAATGCCTTCTTTTTCAATAACATGAGCATCCCGCCAGAAATCATGTAATTTCTTAAATTATAAAAGTCTTCCAAACTGAATTGTTTGACTAGGCTGAAAGCCTTCTTGTTCCATGTTTTACTTTTATACTTCTTTTTTTCTCTCAGTGTACCTGCCATGTTGTATTTTTCTCAGATAAAGAATCATGGAATTACTTGTGTGGTTCAGTTTCAAAAAGCTGGAGGAGTTCGGAGGCTAGTCCAAAATATTCAGTCTCCCAAAGGAAACGTATACACCAATGTAAAATAGTAACCTGATGCTGCCATTCTCTGGTTTGATATGCTATCAATCAATATTTTATCTGGATAGGGAAAACTCCTGTCTTTCAGAATTTGGGAATGATGAAAAAAGGCTCATGTTCAAATAATTCTTCATGAATAAATGAGATTTTACTTTTAAAATCTGGCACTCAGGAGAACATTGTGTTGGCTGCTCTAGCTGGGTTTGCTGGAATTTTTAGTTCAGCAATATCTGGAAGACCACATGCTGTGCAACCCTGGCAGTTAAAACTAACTTCAACACCAACAATAGGACAGAAGGCAGCAAATGTGTTTAGTGGACGCAGGGCAAGCTACATGACACACACAGCTCTGTCTTCCACAAAAAGAGAACAGCTAGGGAAAAAGGATCTAGGGGAATGACTGTGAAACAGCCTTTGCTGCTGCACTGCGTAGACCTCCAGAGGTAACTAAAGGTAATTAACTCACTCTAGTTATGGTAGGGCATCTATCCCTAAGGGAAATGTTGTCTCTGTCATTTCTGTTTCTCTATTTCTCTCAGGGCATATGTATGGAAACAAAAATACTCATAAACACAACCTCCTATACCGTGCCTTGTATATTTCAGAAGAAAACTGTTAGTCTGTTTACAACAAATAGAAAATAAAATATTTCAGCATTGTGCTGATTAAAATGTATGAAACTGTACAAGACCATATATTTTAATGGTTATACAAATCCCATATTTTGGTCTGCATTTTTGGTGAAATCAATTTGCTTTTCTTTTTTTAATAAAATCAATTTGTTTCATTTAGGATTGATTCCTTGCTGTCATCTGGGTTTTCTTCCCCTTTCATTTATTAACTAGGTTTTCTAAAAATTATTTCTACTTTTCTTTGGCAACCTATAAAAGCTACAGATCTTTGAGCTTAATCTCAAGATAAATATTTTTCTAGTCATTGATAGGAATGGAAAATTACTTTTCTTAATTTTGACCATCTTGACCAACAAAGATTAATCCACTATATTGCCACTATATAACAGCTCAATTTAAGGATCAAAGAGAAGAAATTGCTATCACAGCCCTACTGTGGAGATATGTATCTTCTGTCTGAGATCCTAAAGAAGTAGTACAATTCAGAGAAAACAAAACTGAGTTACATGGTCAAAAATCTGAAGAAGTAATCACTTATGTTTGATAATATTTCTTCCATTTTGGGGATTGATTTCAGTTGGTATTTAGGAAACTATGAATTCTATTTGTGTAGCAGAATTTATTTAAAAACAGTTACAGCTTTCTAAACATTATTTGGCCTCTTCAAAAAATTTTTCTCAGGAAATGTTCTGTTTCTTTTATGAAATTGAAACATTCCATGTCAGTTTCATATAAACTATTGAACAACAATTACTCAGTTTCAGAACATTTGTTTATTAATTTTGATTCTTGACAGATGGAGAAGCTGAACAAGTTTGAACAAAATGCAACCCCACCCCCCAAAAACCTTACACATTCTATTTATTACATAAACATAAAAGTTGACTTGAAAATAATATGTGAAATCAAATGCTGCAGTCCCTGTAACTGATGCATGTGCATTAAGGCTATATGAAGTGGGTGTGCGCCCCACCTCATCAAAGCATAGAAGCAGCATGCTTCTCTTTGTAAATCACCCCTTCCAGCAGATCACTTATATTGTCATTTTCAGATATTTCATTACCTGCCTAGGTAATATCTTCAGTAATATCTTGGAGAAGTCAGAGATTGATTGGAGAATCAATCTTCTCCAAGATCATAGCAGTGAAGTTATTGCCTAAACAGGTAGCAAAAATGAAAAACTAAGCTCAGAGATCTCTTACAATACAACCCTGGGCTATTGTCTACAACTGCAGTTTGCTTTCTTCTCTTTCCTCCAATGAAGCAATGTGACCACTCTGTTCTGCTGTTTAAAATTGGGAGGAGGAATGTCACTTTGTGAAGAAGCTTCAATGGGTTGCTTTACATGAACCTTCACTGAAGAGAAGAATCTCTTCAAGTATTTCCTTACCTCTTATTTCTATATGTGTGCATGGCTGTGTGAGTATCATTCTTACAATTGGAATCCTAAAAAGGCTCTGGAAATGTACAGAGTACAGGTTTATGAGTTTGTGTAGAAACCAGGAATGTATGCTTTCCTTTAAATATTTCTTATGTTCTTAATTGCAAAGTATGTGTATCAATGATGTACATGTTTTTAACTGTGCACACTATTAAAATCAGTTCCATACAGGAAGATCATATTTTATTTAAATTAATACCCAATTTACCATGAAACCATTTATATTATGACAGAGTACTCCCAATTTCATGTTTTTTTAAAGTGCCTGAGAACATTGTCAAGCCTTAAAAAAATCTGCCCCATCAACTTTCCCACCCTGAAAGGTAGGGTCTTGCTACTTTTTGAGGCTCTTTGTTGCTCCTCAAAACATGGGCCACCTTTGTATGGACATTTTCTAGGGGCTAAAGATTTATTTGCTTGTTTTAAATTTCCTACAAATCTAACCAAACATACCACATTGACTTCTTAGGGCTTCTCTTCACATTTCTGATTTGACAGAATATTATTCCCTAATCTATAACCTTGTATTTATAGCAATGTATGAAGATGGAGGGGTGTAATTTGATCTTTGGTTGATGGTTTGCAACAGAACAGCTTGTCTGATTATCCGTTTTCCTGCCCATCATCTGGATTTCAATATTATAGTCTGGAAATTGAGAATATATTTCTTATGAATCCAGAATCTTATTAATTTAGTGAATGCTTTATGTTTTCCAGAAAAAAAATCTTTATTTATTTTATTTATTTTATTGGATTTCTCCGCCGCCCATCTCCCCCACAATAGGGGGCTCTGGGCGACTTACAAAAAACTTTGTTATAAGCCTAGAGAGAACAAGATGGCATCTATTCAATTTAGAATAAGAGAAGCAATAGTAGATCCTATCATAACTAATGCCATTACTGGATGCAGACTATGATATTAGAGAAATATGCAATGATCTAGAAAGGTCATAAATAGTGGTCACCCAAAATTTGGGTGATGAACCTAAAAGATAATAATATTGGCTGCAGCTTGCCAAAATTGAGAGGAAATGCATCCTTTTCTTTCTTTCTTTCTTTCTTGTTCCTGGAAAAATATAGCCAGCTGGGTATCAGGATTTCATGTTTATGTAATAAATCTTTTGACAGCAAAATATTGACTATTTGCTTACATTCTCAAATCACATATGAAACGGTATTTAGATGATTTGGGAAGGGGGAACTATATGCCTGTCAAAGCATTCTACATTTTGAATCTATGAGATCCTGAGATGATTTGATAAAATATGAGGGACACCAAAATTCTATTGCACACTAAATGTATTGTGTTTTATAAATCAAGTTAATCATTCCTTGTAAGGATTTGATTGCTTTGGTATGCTCATTTTGTATCATTAAAGAAGCTAATATTGTTATGTGACTTGTTTATTGCTTATTGTCACAGCTTTCAAATTCTGCCTAGAAATATATCTTCTGCCAATAAATTGACATTATCCCATAATGTCCTGCTGGTGGGAATGCATTAGTTAGTTAAGCAATGTATCCCTACTACAGATAATAAAATATTATTTGCCACTGTCTCTTTACCTACATCTGCTCTTATTTATTGTATTTGAATTAAAAGTCTCCCCCCCCCCAATATCTGGGAGTTCCTTACACTCAACATTTATCTGTAGTATTATTATACATTAAAACATCTATGTTTGCAATGGCTATCCCTGAATCCTAAAAGGAGGGACAAAAAAGCATTACCTTTGATGTATACATATTGGTCAATAAATCAGCTTCTAAGGCTTTCATTTCCTCTTCTGAATCTGCAAGTTAAACAGAAACATGTGTTTACTATTGCATTATAAATCACTAGCATTTGGGTTTCACATATAGGATTTAGGAATATCCTCTAAAGAGATTTTAGGGTTAAGAACTGACTAAAATAAATGCTTGGCAAGTGTCCCGTTCTTTAATATATGCTTCTTAATTTATGCCATCTCATTGGAAAAAAATAAGTTTAGTATTGAAAACAGCTTATTATTGGTCAACTGCTACATTTAAAGACCTGATCACCAATAGGGAAAGCAACAGAATATGGGATTAGATGTAATTTCTAAATGAAGTTGCTTCTGCATTGACAGGGTGTAAATGTTTAAAAGAAACTCCTACTTTTAAAAAATGTTTATAGATTGAATGGTTTCAAACATCTTTTCAATGGAAGCCAGCTAACAGGTATGTTCTACAGGCAATATTTAGAGTTGTTCCAGAAATATTCATATATTTCACACAGATACACAACTGCTTACTAACAATGGAAACTGTTTATGTAACATGAAAAGAGATTTACAGTTTCAGTGAGCCTAATTGAACTTCCTAATTCTTGCCATGTTCAATGTTAGAAGGACTTGAAAAATGTGCCTTAACTAAAAGAAATATTAAAGGGGAAACTATGATCTTATATCATCATCATCATCATCATCATCATCATCATCATCTATGGTTCAGTGTAATTCGGCAAAACATCCATCCTATGCACACTGGAAATAAGCCCAATTGATTTCGATAGCTGTATTCTTCCAATTTGTTGTTGCTGCTGTCATTCCGTGTGTTTCAATGGGCCCAAGTCATTGCTAACTTTAGTTGGATGGGATCAGTAATGAACAGTATATTCCTAATTGAAAAGCAGCAAATGTTACTAGCTCAGCATGATAAATGTATACAATATGACTAATATATTGAACTTATCTATATTCTCAAGTTTACATAGTCAATACAGTACGGTACAGTGAGATGTTAGGGAATCTATATCTCATGGAAATCAGTGCTCAAATCTCTTTCTTTTTAAATCTCAATGCAGTATAATATAGACAGACCACAAAAAACAGAAAACATTATTTTTATAAAATAAAATGCTGCCAATATAGCAGGAAGCCAGAAAATAAAAGAAATAAATTGAGGGAGCGGGTAGGTGTTGGCATTTTTAAAAGTAAGTATAAGGATGGAAGATGAATGAAAAATAATATACTGTCATGGATCTATTTTTCAGGGTTATGCAGGGATCCAGATTTGAAGGAGAACTTGTGATATGTAACATATGAGCATGCCCATACTGAACCTGTGGACACTGCCTTAAATCAAATTTGTTTTTTCCCAGGACCATACATGAACCCAGAAAAAGAGAGAGTTCTTTAAGGAGTCACCAACAGATGTAATGTGTTGTCCATGCATGCTCTGAATCATTTTTGCTCCTTTGAATCCAAATTACTGCACAGTCTATTTACAGGAAGACAAATCCTTCAAATACCAATGACAAGGAATTCAGAACACAAGAGCTCAGGAAATAGGACATGGGGAATAGGGGAAGTTATCTGGACAGGATCCAAAAATGATACTATGGAAATATATTTCATCAGAGCAAAGTAAAAACTGCACATATAATGGTCATACTACTGAGAAGAAGCTTATCATTTTCATCAGACTGTTTTCCAGTTCACATATTGACTAGTTCTTGTGATAAATTTCATTGAGATCAGGGCTCCTCGGAACCTCAGTGAGATTACTGCTCCTCAAATTTTCATGGATCATAGCAAAGTTGTTATCATTATTATTATTTCCATTAATTTTCCTGAAATATTTTATTGGTTTTCATTTAATATTACCCTTTGGATAAATGAAATTCTAAAAAATGATGCCTGGATTGTGTCCATTATAATCCAACTCAAGGAATAACAGTATTCTCTAATGCTTGAAAAAGTGTATCATTGGTTTATATTAATAATAATTTCCCAATTTGCAAAAGAAAAAGAAGCATTCTTCCAATGAAAAGCATAGCTCCTTTTATCTTAATTGTGGCCACGTAATTATATTTCTTTATATAACTACATTATACCTTTAAGGCTGTAATTAGAACACCTATTAAAATCAAGTTTAGAAATTTAAAAAGTTGAAACAGGTATATTGCCCTCAGTGATATTAAAGCAAAGCTTAAGTACTATTACTTTGCTTATTGATTTAGGCTGTTATGTTGCCCAAATATTTGAAACTATTACAGCAGTTTAGTAATGAGTTACAGCTAAATTTGAATTTTTAAAGGTAGAACTATTCAATATATTGGATTACAATAAATCAATCTGCAGGGGAAAAAATATTATATACAATTCTAAAATATGTTCTGGAAAGAAATTTAGCAGCCATAGCTTAGTATAAAACTAGGCATGTGAAGCCTGATTGATTTAAAAAGAACTTAATAGATTCACTGCAATTGTATATTAAATTATGTTCTTTGTTCTTAAGACACCCACAAAAATAGGCAAAAATGAGTGGGAATGGCATAAACATATAAATGCCCAAGAGTTTTGTGTAAAGTTATTTATAGAGTTTTGAACTGGACTTGAAAAAGTTGATTTTGACCTATGGCTTTTCTTTGAATTATTTCTGAAATAGATTATAAGCAATGATAAACTGTCATGGCACCAATCTTTTTAATCCCTTGGTGTGTGTGTGTGTGTGTATCTGTGTATCAGTATCTGTATGTGTGTGTGTGTATGTGTGTGTATACACACACATACATACACACACACACACATGCACACATGTTGTAGACTACTAGATATACATTTTTATATCTACAGGGTTAGGTTTTGTTTAAAGGCAAATACCTATTCCAAAAATTATGGATAAAGAACAACTTTAAGGGGGGTGAATTTAGTTATATTACATTAAATATTCATCCATGTATTGTTAGGTAGAAATATCTCCAACTTTATTTATCCAAACCTAGAGTTACTCATCTATACTCAGAATAAGAGTTCTAGTCCTTTTGACTTTGAACATAGCCATTGATGGATTTGAAGATTCTGCTATAAATATATGGGAGAGCTGCAATTTGTGTTTTGTAAATCCCCTTTCCTTTGGAGTTATATCATATTCATTATCATGATTATGTCTGCATAGATAACTGTCATAACTATTTTATCACTGGGAAATTTAAAAAAATATAACTCTTCCTAAACATTGCATAAAATTGTATGCATTTATTTTGTGACTTGTAAGTATGAGTATTGATTGCCTTGGCACAACTCTTGTTTCGCTGAGAATTTTGTATCAAGATTCCAGATCTACAGTAGATTTGTATTACTATATACACAGGATGAAATATTCACTCCATTCATTTCCTTTGCTAATTTTTTTTTTCTGCTGTGAATAGCAGATCTTGGAGTTTTAGCTTAAAACCAATATTAACCTGACAAGCCTACAAGCCTCAAGTCTACCCACTTTTGACATTTAATTCATCCTCTTGTGATAGATGTATAATAAACCCTGTGCAGTCACACTTCCCATGATCTGGATTATGTTTATCAGCCTTCTGCAGTGTAATGCATTTCATATTTGCTGGGATTACAACTCACAGAATGCTAAGAATTGTAGTTCCAATTAATCTGGGGAATATCATGCAAGGGAAGACTGATCCATGAGAATCTATGACGAACTGTGAGCTTCTACTCCCCCAGCCCCAGCCAAAAAGGTCAAGAGTGGGAGTAGATATCCATCAGCCCTTCTAGGTAGACCAGACTAGGCAACCAAAGTTATGAATGCTAATACTACTTTTATTATAAGGTTACAGTAACAGAATCTTGCA